ACCACAACAACAACAACAACAGCAACAGCAACAGCAACAGCAACAACAACAACAACAACAACACCAACACCAACAGCAACAGCAACAGCAACAGCAACAGCAACAACAACAACAACAACAACAACCGCAACCACAACCACAACCACAACTACAACGACAACGACAACGACAACGACAACAACAACAACAATAATCCATCCTTCCACTTTCTTTGCTCTTCCCCCTTCCCCTGTTTTGGCCCCCTGGCCGGCTGTCGGGCGTAAGCCCTTAAATACACTCTGACGAACACATCACATGGAAATGGATGGCATCGTCCCTTGGAAGACTAGTTTCCTTGACGAACAGGGGGGTTTCTCTGCTTCCATGTGATGTGTTCGGAGTGGAGAATCCCAACACCTTTCTCGAATCCCATGGACCTCGGAGCTTTCGAAGAAGCTGGACGTCGCTTTCAGCTTCAGTGCTTTTTAGAGGACCGGGTGATGCGACTTCGTACCGAAAAAACTGCCCAAAAGCCGGGAGAGAACCTTCATGGCTTTTGGGCACCTTTTGGAGGCCCAGTTGAGTCACATGATGAAACTTGATGAGGTGAAATTCTTTCTCCACATCGGGAGAATGATCCGACCAAATGGATCGGTCAAGCTCCCCTGCCACATCTCCATCCGGTAGGGGGATCCTTTTGCCCGAGAAGGTTACGAAAACTTCATAAAGCTTCAAAAACGTCCCAAGCTTTGGTTTCACCTGCGTGATTTGAAACCAAAGCTTGGGACGTTCCCCTAAACCCTAAACACCGGTCGCGAGACGATGCGCCGAGACGAGGAGGGTGATGTGAGGTCTCGCCGGAGAGAGGGTGAGGTGACAGCCAGAGGTCTGTCGTGTTTTGGGTGAGGTCAGATGTCAGATTTTGTTCTGAAACAGTCTCACTGCGGTTGCAATCTTGGAGCCAGCGGGCTGCGATGTGACCTGCATGTGCCTTCTAGAGGTTCTTATCCCTCATGACCCAGGCAAAGTTGGTGGGCCGTCTTCCAAGGCAGTGGTTAATCTGTCTTTACAAAAGCTTCATTTTTTGAATTTGAAAGCCAGAATTTGGCTCTTAGGGTTTTTCTTCACTTGCAAGGGCTTTCTTCTTCAGCTCGACCACGGCTGGACTGCGGCTTTTTTCGATTGCCCGCGGAACCTTTTGGACACACACGGTTTGCAGAACCTTGGACTGCTGAATGGTGACCTTCGGTGAGAGTTGCACTCCTTGCATCAGGAGTAGGTCGTGAAAAGGCGATGGAGAAGTTGATGGCTGAAGACATTGAGTCTTTTCCGGCTGAAGGCTCTGCCTCTGGTCCGATGGTGAGTCGATAAGCATGTTATAACACGTGCCTCGAACCCCAGTCCCAACCAGACACAAATGGATGTTCCAATATGGTTTGCTTGAGATCCTTTACATAGCAGGTGGTTTGTGGACACATCCATTCATTTCTGGCTTTCGGGTTTCCAGGTGCTGACCTCTTCAGACCGGTCTTCCCTCGTTTCGGCGTTCGACTGGGACGTGACAGCGACAGCTGCTGCAGCTGGGAGTCGCGTGACGACCGTGACGCCACCGTGACGACCGTGTCGCGGGGAGAACCAACGGACCGGGATGGGTGAAAGCGCCGTTCGTGCGCTTTTCTCAAGCGGTCGTACACCGTCGTCGCACGGTGAGTACGACGTTCTAGTTCGGTGACGGAAAGAGCGGCTCTGTTCCGAAACGCCAGGTCGCTCAGGTCGCGGTGACAGCCGAGTGACCGTTGGGTGGATAAGGAGAGAGCGACGAGGATGGAGGGTCGCAGTTGCAGATTTCGTTGCAGTTTGACACATTTTCACCTAGTACAGCACGACGTAGTACAGCAGCTAGAGCGGTGAGCAGATCTCATCCGAACGTGAAGCTTTGGTGTGAGCTGGAGCCTGAAACTTAGCCCTGGTTGCCCTACCTGCCAACCGTGTGAATTGCCGCAGCTGTTTTCAAGGTGAGCGATTTTCACCACACTCAGCGGGCGCTGACATGGAGTTATTCACTTGGCTATTTCTTTATGTGACGCCGCTAACGAGTAGTGATCGTTGCTTCTCTGACGGAATCCCAGAAGGAGAGTGGCTCGGCAGATGTGGAGGGTTTGACGGTTGCCACTTTTTACTTGTGTCATGTCACGCTGACATGTTGTCAAGCTGAGATCTAGGCCATTTTGATGCCCAGCTTTTGACTTCTCGTGGCCTTCTTTGGTCTTTGGAGTCCTATTCTTATGTCTTGGATTCCTTCCTGCAGAGGGGACATGGACGTTTCCGGTTGCCCAACACTCAGACTCCACGACCCTCCCGCATCAATGGAACACCCTCCTGGAACACCCAATGTTTGTCAAAACGTGCTGGCGAGTTGTCCCGACAAAAACCACTGGTTTCTCCCGAGTTCTGCATTCACCCACTCCGTTTTCGAACACGTTTTCGCGGTGAAACAACAAGAAATCCCGAAAGATTAGGGGGGTCCAGGCCGGTCCAGGGGTTCAGGAGCTTTTCGCGCGACCGGCCCAGGCGTGCGAACTTGGTGAGCCAGGGATCGTCTTACCCCGTCGGAAATTGGGTCAATGGCTGGGATGCCGGCTTTGCAGCGGGCGAAGTGGCTGAGATCTTGCTCAAGGACTGGGGATCCATCTGAGAGACCGCAGCCCGCATCCACCCCCGGTCCGTGCAGGAGAAGCTGGGCTACAACGTGACCCAAAAGGTCGGGCCCAACACCGTGGATGCCTTCTACGCGCTCGCCGGCTGCCGCACGCCCACGAACGTCACGGATCGTGGCTGTGGGCCCGACATGACCACGCGCGTGCACCTGTCGACTGAAGGATGGACGGGAGGTGCGAGCCTCGCCGCGCGGCGCGGAGCAGCGGCGCGAGCGAGGCTCCGGCTGAGTTGGACTCGTGGACTCGAAGGGTTTGGTGGGAACGTCCACCGCAACTCGTTGTTTTTGGCTGGGACATGCGCCAGGCTATGCCACGGTCTGGGATGATGTCCAGACAGCCTACCCTGCTACGGCGCCCAGGTGCGCCATGAAGCGCGGGTCATGTGTCGCCTCAGTTCGCCTCGGAGCTTAGCGGCTCAGCGGTTTTCGGGGTTTCTTTCGCCCAGTTAAAGTTGTCGTAGGTGCTCTCTGGCTCTCTGGGGACTCTCAACTCTTGAGGGAAATAGAGTCGATGTCGGGCAACAACATGGTTCCTTGATGTTCGTCTTGGAACTCGTCTCCCTTTTTGTCTTCCCTTTAAAAAAGGTGGTGTCTGGTTCATTGGGCGTCTTGTCTCGTCACTTGCTTCTCTCGCTGGTCTCCTGGCTGGTCACCGACATGGCTTCTTCTTGCTCTCCCGTCTCCACACGGGGCAGTCTGCACACTGGTCCTCGGACAGGAAGGACGACTTGTTGGCACGACAGTCTCATGGATGATCGAAAACAGGTTTTTCGATTTGTTCCAATGATGTGCTGAAAACGCATCTAATCGCATCGGTCATCGCATCCGCCAGTCGTCAATTCCAACTCAAGTCATCGCCAGTTTTGGTGTGATGAGAAACAGTATGTGGTATGGTGAGTTCATCTCCCCTGCATCTTTGATGGTCTCAACCAATATTTTGCCATCTCCAAAGGTCGAGTGCCACACATGCCACGCATGCCACATCTTCGGCCGGGGCAAGGACGATCATCCAAGACTTGGAAAACACTTAGAAGTGGACCCTTCAATGGAGAATGTTCGGTTTAGGCATGTGTAGTTCCAGGTTCCGCCCGAAACCTGTTCCGCCCACTGTGTGCAGCATGGTGATACGGTTAGTGAATTGAAAGAGGATACGCGCTCAATCTTCACAAACACAAGATCACCAAAAAGAAGCGGTCAGAGATGGATAATGATAGGACCTTAGTAGGAACTAGTTTCCGCTAGAAGTAAAGTCAGGGTTGTTGCATCAGCCTTGAGAAAATAGTACTCATGACTCATGACCCACTGAACTTTTTGCAGGTGTCCCATTCCTTCCGCTGTCCGGTCTGGGCAGGAATCTGGGGAACATGGGCTACACAGGCACTGCAACGTCTTACATCTCGTCGAGTCTACAGGAGCTGTGCTGAACGAATGGCGAGCGAATTTTTTTGTGTGGAGGCTCTTTGGAGACGAGCCATTGAGTAATCTAACTAGAAGCCATGGCCTCCGACTAGCGATGGCCTCCAACCTAGAAGCGATGGCCTCCAACCTGGTAGCGATGACCTCCAACCTGGTAGCGATGGCCTCCGACCTTGAGTCATTGAGCAGAAATCAAAGTAGGAGTGACACCGAGAAACCCATTGTAGAGGAACATAGACTTAGTGGATCATTCTCCTACTGCTCATCGCGCCTCATGTTGCTGAGACATTGCCTCTGACATACATGTGCAAGTGCAAGGGGTTCTGCATGTGCAAGTGGTCATTTGGACCTTGCAAGCGAGCTATCAGTAAGCTAACGGCCTCCGGACCACATTTCCGGACATGCATCTCCGAGAACACTTGCGCTTTCTTAGGCCTAAGATAAGGCCTGGCAGTCTGGATACACCCCTAAGTAGATAGAAAAAGTAGATGCCCACGAAGAAACTGTGCCACTATCTACTTGGAGACCACTCTCTGGTCTCGACGGTTTCGCTCTCCTCCAAAACCATTCCGTGCGACCCGGTCGGTGCACGAAGGCGACTGGTCCGCCGTCTTTTCGGTCGCCCTCATTGCGTCCAAACACGTTGCGGCCAAACACGCCCACGCATGGCACCCCGCCAACGGACCAAAGAGCCAAATCCAAAGAGCTAAAGCTTGTTGGTTGATGTGATGTGACATAGTATTGAACCATAGTTGAGCGTTGTAGATAGCTACCATAGCTGCCATAGCTGCCATGCATGTCCCTTTCGATTCGTTGGCACGTGACCCGTAGGAGTTTGCGTATTCCAGCGAAGGTTACTCTTTGGACTTTTATCGGGATCCTTGGAAGGACGAATTGCGTCGGGACCGGAGAACGGACGGATCGGGAGAAATCGGTGAGACGCAAACGCGCCCTGAAAGGCCAAGGATGTAGGGCTTTTGAAAGCAAGACTAGACCAGCAAAAAGAGCAGTGCAAACTTCAATCACGAAAGCCAGCCGATAGGCTAGGCTGGAGTTGGGATGGGCGAACGAAGTGAGTATTAGGGGGTGTGGGGGGGGTGGTCGCACAGAGGGCAATTTCTGAGGGCGACCCAGAGCCTGGTGGAGGAGAGCGAAAAAACGGCAGGCAGAATGGGATGGAACATGTATTGTTTTTGTGGTGTTGTGATGCACGTGATGTAAGTGATGGAAAAAGGGTGCATCATTAGCATCATGAGGGAGGTAGGAGGCAATGTAAACCGTCTCCTACCAGGGGTTCATGTCGATGAAAGGAAGGAGGGACAACGGGCCCGAAAAGTGGTTGGACCGCCTCCAGGACAGGGAGATGTGCGTGTCTGGTGGCCACTGAAATACTGTTCGGCCAGGGGTGAAAGGGAGGTGTGTGTCCCTTACGACTTTGTTGTCTTGTGGAAATGAAGTGATCTGTGAGGGGAGGGAGAGGTAACGGAATGCTGTGGGGAAGGGATGTGATCTGTACACGGCAGGAGAGGGAACAGAATGCGGTGGGCTAGCTTTGTGAGTGGCATAGTAGGCGTAGCGGGGTAGGATGTGATAGGAAGAGTGTTAGACAGGAAACGATGGGATGTGAAAAGTGGTCCGGACAAGGGAGGCGCGCGTCTTCAACACTCTGTTTTCTACAAGTCCTTCTTGTGGCTGTCGACTTCCCAAGGCAGGAGAGGGAAGAGAATGCAGTGGGCTAGCTTTGAGTTGATTGGGGCTGCCCTAAGGTATGTTGACCTATTACCCCATCACAGGCCGCTCTTTGCCCGATGTGACACGCTCACTTGACTCTTGACCTTGGCCCTAACTGACGTCGAGGTGCCCCTTTCTCTCTTCCAAACGCCCCTTCATCCACAAGAGCAAAGGCCCTGCTCCTGAAGGCCTATCATGTCGGCTCCGCCTTATGCCTCCTTGCGCTCTCGCGTTCACCCCCGCTGACTAATTCATATCGCCTTACGGAGGCTGGCTTTCTTCCCCTCCCTTCTCAGGTGTATATAAATGGGAGTAGTAGTCAACGAGTAAATCAAACTAATCTGAGTGAACACTAACCTACAATGACAAATCTTTTTTGCACTAAGGATTACAGCGTGGCGTGGAGAGACCCCGCCAAGTTTTTCACAGTTCCCAACCAAGTGACGTCGAAGTTGCGCCCATGTGACGAGACAATTCTGGTGGATTCGGTGCAGATGAACAATTATTTGAAACAAACCGGAGATCACGATGGCGTGACAATTCAAGGCCAGGTGGAGATTCAGAGAGTGTCAAAACGAGGAAGTGTCGTGTCGAAGGTGTCGCGGTGACATGTGGTGATCGTGGTGCTTGTGGCACAGCACCAGTTGACTCAAGTCAGGGTTCCACCCGAGAAGGAAGAAGGACCTCCCTTCAAGAACCCCTGGTAACTGTTACCGGTTGAAATGGCTGATGTACAGGCAACGGCGATGTCCACGCACGATGCTTTGATGGCCACTTTTGGCGTGCCCCAGTGTGCCGCTCCAATTCTGCCTGCCTCTTGTACCTCACCGGGGGAGCTGGATGGGGTGGAGATGAACTGCTGCAGAAGGTGGGCGATTTTGCAAGAGACCGGTCTGCAGGTTCCAAGTAGGTTGGAGGCCATCGCTAGGGTTGGAGGCCATCGCTAAGGCTAGTAGGTTGGAGGCCATCGCTTCTGATTCTAGGTTGGAGGCCATCATCGCTCGTAGTAAGTTGGAGGCCATCGCTCGTAGGGGCCATCGCTTCTGATTCTAGGTTGGAGGCCATCATCGCTCGTAGGTTGGAGGCCATCATCGCTCGTAGGTTGGAGGCCATC